CTTTTTGTCACACATGTGACAAAACTTTAGTACTACTAAACAAGGACAAAGACCATGGACTCCGTGGCTCACTATCGGTAAACGGTTGGTTATCCAACAGTATTCTTTCCAACTTTTCCACAGTATCTCTTCCACAGACTGCACTTGGTCGTGTAAGACGCAAAATTAACAAAACAAACACAATGTTGGCTATTAAGCAAATATTGAATGATTGCAAAAGTTCCTGCCCGATTTTCAAAGGTGGCGAGAACCTTATCGACTTCGGCACAGATGTTCCTTTTGGCGTAACGTTACATTCCTATCGAAAGATACACCCCTTGTGTTTTATTTTCAAATAATTATTCATTTCATTCCATTTCAGTTTCAGATGAAATCTGCTTTTGCACACACCGATTGTGTTTTATTTTCAAATCGGGCACGAACTTTTGCAATCATCCAACATATCTTTATTTTGCAATTTCCGCTGGGGTGTCCGTCGCGTTCGACGGTTGCAACTAGAGTGCCCTTTTCCGCGTCCTATGCCTCCTAGTCCAAAGTGTCCTGGGAAAGGGCTTAGTTTATGACACCCTGAAGTATCCGCGCGTTTTCTCTTCCGGTGACCCTGGGTGACAAAGATCAGGCCACCACTCCGTCGCCTGAATCTCGCGTTCCTTACAGTCGTGTATCGTGTACGACTGGTATCCTAAAACCGAAGAAAGCAGCTGCGATGAAGGAATAACGATACATTGTGTAAACAATGTGAAGAGGCGGATGTTTGGACTGAGCGTTTTATCGTACGAGTGGAGACTACGCTGAAGATGCAGACAGAGAACGTGTTAATACGTTCTCGACTGACATCGACGGATTTGATAATGTATCTTCTGCCGTGCATAGCGGGGCGAGGTGAAGAAAAAAGGAACAGATAGAGGAAAGGGAGGTGAGCGACAGGAACAGGGTTCGCGCGCATAAGGGTGCCTTTTCATTTATGTAGTCGCGTCTGTGAAACGACGGCGAACATCAATCACCGGGCATAGATGCGTCGATGGGGGCGGACCATTGAGGAGGCATATGCGAATTGTGCGAGTCGAATCGACAGCTTGGATGAATGAACGAAAAAACAGAGTCTTGATATCTCGATGTTACCCCCTTCCTGGTCCCGCTTCTGCCTTCTACGGTTAGCAGATTTTAAGGAATTTTACGAAAAGGACGGGGTTGAGAGAAAGCTTGATGACTTGCAAGAGCTGTACTCTATAGCGAAGTTATTCTGATGGTGTTTGGATGCAAAGCAGGATGACCTTTGCTTAAGTGAAGTTTTGTGTCTGTACGCAGATTGCTCTAGAGGTTGGAGCTTAACTTCTTCAGGGACACCGACACATATGTGTACCTTTAAATTTTCCGAAAATTCCAATATTTGCCATAGAGAAAATATGAAAAACACAATCTCCCAAAATCTCGTAAGGAAAGTAGTTTAATTGCTATCGATTTAACACGAATATAAATGTAACTACATAAAAAGTTAGATGAATTTTTGCTAACTTTAAAAAAAGCATCCCCCTGAAGAGGTTAAGGGTGTATTCTAGTCTAAACCTTTCAAAAAATCGATATTTTTTTGCATTTTTCGGTGGTACGAACCTTCGAGAAGGTAGTGTTAAATTTTTGCAGCAAAATTCCAATTTCGGCTTTTGCAGTGTACTTAATAGACTAGAACTTCTGTTGCAAACATTTAAATGAATTTTAATAAAACCTACGCCATTTTAGACCTACCTATTATGCTCCTATTAAGTCTCTTCTCGTTCAAAATATCTCTCAATGGAAATTCCATTTTACCATCTTCGTATAAACTTTATTTCACATCAAATGACTTATTCAACGAAAACAACGGAAACAACAGGATTTTCAGTGATCTGGATCAGTGACTTCGTGTACGTTTCACGGATCACCGTTGGGATATTACAACGGTTATCCTGTCCGGCGATTATTTACGTTGTCTTTGTGCTTGTTCGGTGGCGTTTACCGAATTTCGCCCGGAGAGCTTGCATTTTTTTTTTTTTTTGTTCCACCGAGCGATACCCCGGCAAACAGTCAGGTTACCGATGATCGCGACGCTGACGCACGTGCGTGATTGGCAGAAATTCATTTCGCGCGATTTACATGCCACGGAAATTGCGTGTCTGCCGCGCGTATATCCCCAGACCCTTTGTTTAGATGGCAGCGTTTGTCATCGTGGCCCGCGTAGAGGTGAGCTGTCGTCGCTGGCGCAGACATAAGACTGTCGTTGGTTGGGGCGACCCTCTAGCGTTGGAATATTGGGCACAGATGCAGTGTCGAGATTGCTAACGGGTCTGCCGGCGTTCAAGAAGATCTAGCGCGTACAAGAGGGACCCATTATCTTCTTAGCCAAACACCGAGTTACGTCCATAAAACGACAACTTCTTCGCCTTGACGCCTTGAATGTCTACAAGACCTTGAAAATGTCAGTGAAATTAACATACGCCACAACCGAGCGAAGAGCTCTTTATTTGAATTCTCGGAGAAGAGACGTCTTCTTCCTTCCTTCGGAGACATTCCACAGCGTCCAGTTAAAAAAGACACCCTGTATATAGCAATCTATTTGTATTCAAGAAAATTCATATTTATGTATACCAATTCCTAGGAGTATGAATTTTTACCAAACATTTAGTGCTGTGTTTCTTAGGAATTCTTTGAGCTCAAATTATTTTTTTCTTTATACAACATGCACGTGCCTATCAGCGTGCACCATCGGTGATATGCGTTAACAAATTGAAACTGCAGATAGGTAATTAAAATCGAGAAAATGCCAGCGATCCACTAGATATTTCTATTTCATTTATCAAATGCATTGGCCTGTCAGCATTGTTATGCTCAGAAGCAAGGGAATACGATCCTTATACATCGCGTAATTTTCCTTCAACCGCGTACAAGACGAGTTGAGTTCGGTAGGGAATTTTGAAGACGAGGAAAACGATCGCCAATTAACAACGGATCATTACGACGACGTCATGGCCACAGCGGTGGTATGCCTAGAGGAACTGGAAACGCGCGCCGCACCGTCTTCATCTAAGAGTCATGCATCGACACAATCGTCGTCCCCCTACGCGCTATCGGTAAATTTGCCAAAAATTGATTTACCGAAATTCGACGGTCGCATCGAAATGTGGATCACATTCAAGGACGCGTTCCACACGCTAATTCACACACAACCAGGATTGAACAAAATTCAGAAGCTGCATTATCTACGCCTTTCGTTGTCCGGAAAGGCCGAAGCCGCGATCGGAGCCTTTAGCATCACCGAGGACAACTACGAAGCGGCATGGAAACACCTGATGGAAATTTACGACAATAAACGCGCGCTTGTCTTACGCCACGCCGCTCTTCTACGCGACACCCCCGCGATGCCAGATGATTCGTCGGACTCGATACGCGAGTTAGCGAATCATATGCAATTGCACATCCGTTCGTTGCAAGCAATCGGTCGATCGTCGGACGACATCGCGAACGATCTTTTAGCAAGTATTCTCATTTCGAAAATGGGAACCGACACGAGAAAATCGTGGGAGCGCACTCTGTCCGACACGGAGATGCCAAAAATCGACGATCTATTCAAATTTCTACACAACGCATCACATCAGAGCAAAGATTACGCGACAGAAATCAAGCGTCCGTCCATCAATTGCGATTCGTGGAAGAAGGTGAGTGCGGTTCCGCCGCGTCAAAACAACTATCCGCGCACACAGCCTCCGCCGCGACAAACCAATTATCCGCGCTCACAACCTTCGCCACCGCCAAAACGCCAAGTCTACGTGACGAAGACTTCGCGAAAATCGCCGACGCCTCCGTCATCACCGCGCAGTCATCGCCGTTCAACGCCGCCGGAAAGGTCAACCGCGCGGAGCAGACACACCGACGCGAGATGTCCGTTCTGCGAGGGAAATCACGCAAGCTATCGATGTCCGAAATTTCTGGAACAGAGCGTGTCGAACCGCATCCAAGCCGTCCAAAGGGCGCGCCTCTGCCTGAATTGCTTGCAATCAGATCATCGGACGGAAGATTGCAAGGCCGGAAGCTGCCGCGTGTGCAACAAGAAACACAATACGAAGTTGCACCTGGAGCCGCAATCATGACTCCCGGCAAAGGGGGATCCCAGTTCGCGCAACATCACCAGCTTCATCGTTAACGGCCCTGCAAACGAACTACTAGCCACCGCAATCGTATACGTGCTAGATCACGATCAGAAACCGATCGCATGCAGAACGCTCATCGACACCTGTTCGAGCGCAAACTTTATGACCGACGACCTGGCAATCAAACTACGACTACCGATGAAGAAAAACGAAACGACAATTGAGGCGTTGAACCAGTTGAATACGATAGCGAATCAACTGGTCTCAACAACAATCAAATCGCGACACTCGAATTACAAACGAGAATTGACATTTTTTACGATCCCGCGAATCGCTGGACCAACGCCGGACACGCAGATCGACCGTTCCAAGATCGCGATACCGGCCAATCTTCAACTCGCAGATCCACAATTCCATCGACCGGCACATGTGGACATGTTGATCGGCACCGGTCCGGCACTAGCATCACTTAGCATCGGCCAACACAGCCTCTCCCCTCGCAATGGACCCGATCTGGTCCTCCAAAAAACGCAATTTGGAT